ATAATAACATTTAATATATTTTTGCTTGTTCATGTCTTAGTTCCTGTGTGCAAAATACGCTATGAAAAAGCAAAAATGTTTGAAGAAAGAGAAATACTGAAAAATAGAGATTATTTAGCTTCATAGGCCATCAATCCACTTCAAAATAATAATCATCTTCCATTCCCCACTGCCTATATAATTTGGCTGTATATGTGAAAATACATTTGCAATATTCACATCAAAGATGATCTAATTGGGTGTGGCTAAAGGACATAGTGTAAGAAATTGCACAAACACTAATTCATTACTTTAGCACACTGAATAGTTTGAATATATCATTTTATAGCTGTGTAGATAAGTGGGGGCAGAAAGCCAACCCAAGCCACTTACAATCTGATAATATAACTGGCAAAACCACAAGCAACAGCCCACATCTTTGTATAAATGTACAAAGCAATCTTAAAAGGTTAGATAAATTATACACAGAGTAACTGTGAAGGTTCCTTCAGAATTTACTGGATAAAGGAATGAGTAGGTAATTAGTAGGCCAGCAGGACAATCCATCTATGGGCATTCTTGGCCCACATTTGGGGAGGGGGTCTTGTCATTCTTTTTTGCTGTATCAACAAAAGGTTCGATACATTTAAGGCATGAATAGATTTAAAAAAAATAGTTTATAACTTAGAACAGGGGTGTTAAACCCATGACCACATGCCAGATGCATCATGTGCTGGCCTCGTCCACACCTCGTTTAGCAAAAAGGAAAATATGATGATGCCATGTCGATGTGAGTTTGACAGCTCTAAAGAGAATTGCAAACAAATGTAGTCTTTTTCCTGTGTATAACTTTTGCCATTAAATGTAATATTTAATTTTTTTGGTCCTTCGCTTTGCTTAATCCTATAATTATTGTAGAAATAGTGTCGGCCTTTAGATATGAACAGGGCAACAGTTTTTAATAAATTTAAGTATAAATTATCTTTCATCTTCACCAAGGTGTTCAAACTTATAGTCTGGAGCAAAGACAGAAATAAAATAGTAGTTAAAGTATAGCTTATCAATTATTTTATTCAGTAAACTAAACAATGGATGATCACCATAAGTTAATCATAACTGAGTCATTATTATCAGTTTTAATTCACAACTGGCCACTATAGATACACATTGAATACAAACATTTATTGTCAGTAAGAAACTGAAAGAGATTTGGAAAAAATACACCAAATTCTTTTTATGCATATGATCTTCTATTGTAAGTTGCTGGTATCATAAATTGTGTTGGTCTATTACAAATTAACTGAAAGATATAAAGACATAAATCAATGTTCAGCTTTATAGAATAGTTAAATAGAAGTTGAGGTATGTGGGGAGAAATATATAAAGGGCCATTGAGAAATAATTGGGTATCAAATGTATATAAAAATATACATTTTGTAGCATCCTCAAACAGCCTATGATTGTTGCATGAATCACCCAGGCCACAAATGAGCAGATTTCAATTTTGTAGAATCTACTATCTTTTGTTATTGTTATTAACAGAAGCTAGATGCAGTATCCATTTTCACTAGATTTAAATTCATTATTAAAAAATCATAGGTCTACTGTATATAATGCATCAAATACATCACTTTATTGAACTAATGCTGTGCAATTAAATTGAGGAAATTGTTTACACTATCCAATATGTAGTTCACAAAACTTTCATTTAAAAAAAACACGTCTTCATTTAGAGAAAATTGAGAGCTGTATTGTTAAAAGATTGTATACTCCTTTGAGGATTTGGTAGACATTACCCACAGATTTACAAACAGCTGTAGAAAACTTTAAATTTAGAAGTAATTGCACCACATTCCTCTTATGAGCTTCCAAGATGCAGCTGATATGCTGTTGTTGACCACACAATGATAGCCTAGAGAAGAATCTTGATTTGATCCAAGGAACCACTTATCACTGTGATGGCGAACCTATGGCACCTGTGCCAGAGGTGGCACTTGCACCATTGCCAGCTGCTCTTCTGGATTCTGGCGCACTGGCCAGATGTGGGTGCTGGAGCACTGGAAAACTGCCAGAAAAATGACTAGAAAAACAGCCTGAAAATGGACGGAAAAAGGGCTGAAAACAACAACAACAACCCCCCAACAGGCCATTTTTGAGCTATTTTCAGACTATTTTCAGGGCATGTGCCAACTGGTCTTTGGGTTTATGGTGCTCCAATATGCACACATGCATGGACATTCCAGTTTGGGCACTTGGTGCTGAAAAGGTTCACCACCACTGACTTACCACATTCTTACATATATTTACCATAACCTATGACCAAAGTTCATGAACACTGGAGGCTAGATATACTTTTAAGAGATTTGAGCCAATTACCCCACATATTCTTCTATGAAATAAACAGTCACAATATAGGCATTTTTTCCCTTTTGAAGATCATCAAAATAACTAGATCTTTATCTTCCCCCTTTGTTTGTATTTGTGATATGTTTTGACAATCCAAATTATGCACTCTTTTGGAACTGCATCTTAAGTAACTGTTACACAATTCTTTTAAACCAATCAGAAAGTTAATGGTGCTTTAAATTATCTGTTTGGCTTGTATATATTTATAAAGCCTCATTCCGTTTTATCACTTCATTTAATAATTAACATTTTATAATACCAGCCATATTTCATCACGCTGTGAACTGAAGTTGTCAAATGAATTTGTTTACTTTTTTCATATCCATTTTCTCCCTTGCTTCAAATATTAATTACAAATGATATTGATCTGGGAAATATAAATAGGGCCAATCTGAACGTCTAATCTATATGCTCATTGAAGATCCACCATGCTAAGTTTCATGTTGTATCTTTCACAATTAGTTATATGAACCACCTGGTACTGAATATAGTTGCACAGTAGCAGAATGTTTATACTGTCTTATGTTATTTGTAACATTTTATACTGTTAAAACAATTGCCAGCTCTTCAAGGTAATAAGCCAGGAAATGGAGTTCTCAAGAATAAATGGAATACTATTAATATAGACTGTAGGTCTAGTGGTCAGGGCACCAGCTAGAAACCAGGATACTATCACCTCTACAGTAGCCCCACCTTAGCCATGAAAGCCAACTTTGTGACAGTCAATCCCAACATACCTCACAGTAATATAATAAATACAATAAAAATAAATAAAAAATTAGATAGATAGATAGATAGATAGATAGATAGATAGATAGACAGACAGACAGACAGACAGACAGACAGACAGACAGACAGACAGACAGACAGACAGACAGAC